CACCCACGGAGGGTGAGAGGGGAATTTTTTTTATATATATATATATCCCTCGTTTCAATAGCTTTTTGTTTTTACAGCATAACACTTGTTTACATATTTCTAACTTCCAATTCAATTCAGTTCTCCAAAATTCTGCTTTTAGATAAAAGTAGATCTTTTATTATTTAAACATAATTCAAAGTATTTTTTTTTTTTGGGGGGGGCTTAATTAAAATTCCATAAAACTCGATGTGAGTGAATTTATTCTCTGGACCAAAGAGTTCCCTGTACTGAGCACGACAGTACCAACTCAGAGAGGGCGCTTTCAGGGTTGAAAAAGAAAGAAAAGTGTAGGCAGTGAATCCATAGCAGCAATGCACTCTGTTTATGCTGGTGTTTTGATGGGAGGAAGGTATCGTAGACTATATTCATATTTTTTGACTAAATTGAATATATTAAAGCCTTTTCTCATAGGTATTTGTAATGGGTCTCTGTGTATGAAACACAGAGACTCAGAATGCACAGAGATGTACATTCATAGTTGCTCTTGCATCTATGAATGCAATCATAATGCAGGTTAGTAAATTGCAAAGTAATTCAATTCAGAAAGCAAGACTTAAAGATAGATTCATTAGATGCAAAATAATTATTTCTGCTAATGTTAAAGTTTATTGGTATTATCAAATATAAAAACCAAATTCAGTTTTATTGGTCTTATTGGACTGGAGAGTTGATCAGTGGTTCACATCCTCTGCTCAGATGAAAGAAACTGTATTTTATTTAAAAATGAGGATCCCAGAAGGGAACAAATACCCAGTTTAATGGCTGTGCTATTACCATGATTGACTTTCCAGCAGACTCGACAGAACTGAACCCCAAAAGAGAATTGATGGAGTATTGTCAAGAGGAAAAGGAGAGAGATCAGACCAAACAATAGAGACTCACTGAAAGCCAAATTAAGACTCAATTATTACATTAACTTGAAAAGGGAAGAGTGCCTTCTCTGTGTTGTGAAGGAGGTCCTGCCCCTAGTGGAGAAGTTAAAGCATCTTGTTCATGAATGAGGAAAAAAATAGGGTTAGGCCGAGATTCAGGAGCTGTATTGTTCTGTTGTTTTGACGAGAAAGACGAGCTTTCTCGTCACATTTCTCGTTAGGTAGTTGAACCCTCTTCATTAACCAGTCCATCTACGTTCCTACACACATCTAAAAGAACATTTATCTCAAAATAAATAGCTAAAATATATCCACCTGTTGCTAATACGTAATTCTAATTTATTGCGATGAACTTGTGTGAACATGCAACGATTCTACTCACTTGTTCTGGTGCTTGGAGCCCTGGAGGTGTGCATGGTACTGTTCGATGGAGTTAAGGACCACACTGCAGACACTGCAAGAGTAACTACTGCGCAGCCCTGGAGAGAAGCAAACACAACCAGGTATTCGCACAGGTTACTGGGGAGAGAAGTTTGGATATGCAGGATTCAAACCACCGTCCTTATGAGCTGCACTACTAACATGCTGGAACGAGGACAACGTGGGCAACAATACATTCTCAACGGACACTAAATAAGATCCTGTTACTCTGCGCTTTGGAAAGTAATTTTGTTAATTAAAGTGCATCTGCAAAAGCATTTGATTAGACGAATCATTAGCAGAAAACCAGCTACAGTTTAAGATCCTTAAATCAATGCCGCTGACTGTCTAGCAACAATGTGTGTGTGTGGGCGTGAGCCGGGGTGTCTCTTCCAAACTTGAAATTGGAGCGGGGTTCAACACAAGAATCAGGACACCGAACAGAGAGAACCGAGCAGCTAATTGTGTTGCTTCCACTGCGAAAAGATGTGCGTAAATGCACATTTTACATTGTGGCAGTGAATGCACGCTTCAGACACAGATGTTGTCTAATTAGAGGGTTTGCAGGTGGTCGGGATGAGCATCCCAAAAATAGATGAGTTTGGAGATACAGGCAGAGCGGGGTGAAGCAACATTTGGAGGCAGGAGGTGTGGGGGGGGAGGGCGGGGAGAGCAAGGGGCTTAGCAGAAGTGAGGAAAATTTCCAGAGAAAAGTAAGATGCATATACAGATAAAGAAGAGTAAACACATAATGAGTTGTTGGCATGGCAGCACCGATTCTAAAAATGTCTGCCTTTTGTGAGGGCCGAGGAAAATGCTCTCTGTGTCAAGGAGGATGGGGCAATCAACAGCGTGACATAATTGGTTCTGTAATCTCGGTCAGAGATACAATGAAGGGCTATTAATGTTTTCTAACATGATGTATAATCAGGAACATCAATGGATCAGAGGTCATAATCCTTGATACTTTAAATCTACCCGTCTATGGCCCTCAGGCTTGACAGAGCTTCATTTTTATTTTTGGAGTTTATTTTTTTTGTGAACGTGTACGATTATTGTTGAGTTTGTGCTGCAAAAGAAGTTGGATGTGCTTGATTGTGTGTGGGTGCCCTTTTCTCTGCTGTCATTACTGTCTTTGAGATTTATGACTAGTCTGTGTATTCTGTCACCTTCTGACCTTTGGAGGCAGTAATTGCTAAAGAACTATGTTGGGAAATGAAGTTGTAACACAGTTGAGAGCAATGTGCGGTCATTCAGACTGGGTGGGAGCTGCATAATGTAGCATATCCACTTCGCGTTGCCTCAGGAGTCACTCCGTCTGTGACAGGGGTGATTAAGGACATACAGTCATTAAAAAAAAAAGAAAAGAAAGAAAAGCCCAGAGCAAATTAGTAGCCTGAAGTAAGCACCAGCGTAGATTAACTTGCTGATATTTTGCAGCTTTTTAAAGCTGGTAGCTGAATCTGTGTGTGCAAATAAAAAAAAAAAGGGAAAAAAATCATAAGATAAAATTTCTGATGATTTAATTTAACTTTAAATCAGCATTTAAGTACACGTGTTTAATCTCTAAGTTCCATTGCCAAAGAAGCAAGCAGAAGGCAGGGAATATAAATTGGAGATGTAGGCACAAAGAAAGCCAAATAGAAATGCTATATTTAGCTGAAATTAATGTTATTCTTCAGAAAAAAGTCTAAAATGCTTTTGCAGAGTTCCGTTTGCATTTATTCATACTAAGACATTTTTCCAGTTTTATTTGAATTAAAAACAGATGTAATACAGCAGCCTTTCAGCGTTTGATGGTGGTACTGAGAACTACTCTGCTGTTGCTGCTACTGTTATTTTTGCACACGATAATCATGAAACAAAAATTTCATATTGTTAAATTCCTATTTGCTTATTGGAAAATAACTCTGAAAAGAAAACAATGCCCGATTCTGCTCTTCTTAGTTCGATAAATCTATACTGCTGAAAGGATTACACAAAGACTTCTGTTCTTCTACATAAGACTAAGTGTTATGAGCGCACGTGTGTATGTGGACAGATAATGTCAGCTTCCCTGCTTTTAGCCTGATTGATGTCACCTCCCCAGTGTGTGGCCGAGCAGCACTGATGTGCAATATGTTGCCGCTTTGTGTCGGCGCCAGTGGTCTGAACACAGACACACAGACACACACACACACACACACACACACACACACACACACACACACACACACACACACACATTAATGTACACTCAAGAGCAGACGCTTTGTGTTTTTGGTTCTGGCATAAGTTTCTGGCAAAAGACCTAATCCATGTTAATTACATGCACAGAAAGTGTGCATGACAGCATGCAGCTCAGGCTTAAGAATTTAGCTGTTTTTTTTGTCAGCGGGAGCAGTATTTGTGCGGGTGTTTTAAGCCTTGTTAATTACACAAGAAGATAGGCCAGGGAGGGAGTGAAAAGAGAGGGTGCGATGAGCAAAGGCAGTGGGTGTGGAGTTGTGACTGTCGTTTAATGTGCAAAGCCTTCCAGCACTGCAGCCATTCCTTGTTTGCAGATGCATTAATGCTGCTTGCAAACGAACCGCATTTTATGTTAACATTTAGAAACACACTGTATGCTCATTACGAGGCCATCGCTGCAGAGGAATCTTGACAGGTCCTTGCTTCGGTTTCCTGCCTTTAAATATTACATGTTATACACAACTGAACATTTCTGATTCAGGTCTCACAGCATTATTGCTCTCTTCAGGGGCACAATATTCATGGCTTAGTCCATTTAAATGCTCTGCCAAGCTCTTACTCCAACTCCTTTAATGTGTCTCAGAGGGATTTATGGTACCATTTAACACTGACAATTATGAAATCTTGTTTATGGTGAGTTCAGTTTGTTAAATGACACTAAATCAAGCAGAGAGGGACAATTAACCAGTGTGCAGACTATGAAAAACAAAGGTGCACAACAATGATTACAAACCCTATTTGATTTTTTGTTGTTGTTGTTTTTTATCATTTCCCTTTCTACTTAATGTAAAGTTAGAACATACTTAGAAATGCAAGTAAAAGTTAAAAATCTCGCAACAAATTTATAATTGCAATTAATTTTTTTATGTGCTGCTGGCTTGGATGCAGATTTAAGAAGCTTTTCCCATCCCATAGCCCTAAAATCCTGTGACACACCATGGGGCATGCACTGTTCAAAACTAAAAATGAAACATATTCAAAAGAAATCCTCTGAGATGCAATCAAAACTAACATTATGCATAGGCCTGACTGTTTGTCTCCAAGGAATGCGACATATACATCACAGCAGAAAACAGTTGAACGTTGAGTGTGAAGCTGTCTGAGTCCAAGTGGAATTTCACCAGCAACATTTCAAGGACTTCAGGAGAGCCTAATTAATTTTGCAGGAAATGTGGCAGAAATTGGAAACACCATCTGTTTCCGAGAGGACGAAGCACGAGCCATAAAGGAATGAAAGGCGAGACTGAAACTTGCCTAAACTGATGTTTGCGTTTTAGTTTAACTGTGTTTTCCACTTCAAGTCAACATTGATTAAGACACGTTTCAGTGCAAAACACTTTGCACATTAACAATATTATTACACATCATTTAAATGCAAACTGTTGATTATGTTTGTCTTATTCAAGATTTTCTAACAAAATAAACAATGGTATTCTTTCAACTCTAAAGAAACATAGCATTTAAACTTCAAATAATTTTGATCCCTTTAGCCAGGAGTTTATATAATTACTTGTTAGCAACCTAAATGAATGTCCATTAGACAGCAGTGCAACAGCAGCATATGTTTAGAGCAATGTCTTTTATCATTCACCTCTGAGGTTTAGGGGAAACATTCAAAAAGATGCTGTGGACTTATAATTTACTTATGTATTTCTGCTATTTTGATATAAATGAGAGCTGTGCAATGTACTGACTAGCAGTTCTCATTGCAAAATCAATGTTTGTGGTGGTGCAATCGGAATAAAACCGCTTAGTTGCACTATTTGGTTGATTACAATATTGTGCGTTGAAACTTTGCTTTCCATTAGTAAATTATGTGAACTGAATGGACGTGTGACCTTCCTTTAAACCCAAACAATGAGACAGATCTCAGTTACCGAGATCAGAAATCGCAGGGATTGGGACATTATGATAGAGAAGAAAAGCAGCTTGGCAAATATGGGCTAGTCGAAATCGATTTTGTCATCAAAGTATTTAATAAAATTAACGCTATGTCATGTTTTTGAAACGACTGCCTACTGGTGCTTAGGGTTTATACTAATGAGCATAGAGCTAATACGAACTTCAGAGCTCTGTTATTTAGAGCCATCTCTTCTGATTATAGTAATCTCAAACAGTTGTCAAGACAATTTATTGAGAAATCTATATAAAAACTTATTTAAACAAGCTATTTCCTATAGCTGTTGTAAGGGTTAGGGATTTTATTGATCTGGACTCAATGATAAACACATTTATCTACAAAGCCCAGAATTGATTGTGGATATCTATGAAAGTGATGTGCAGCTATGTCAGGGAGCGCTATCTCCTGGGACAGGAGGTCATCTCCGCCTCACAATTGAGACACAGCCATCAATTACAGGCTGTATTCTTTGAGCTTCTGAACCGAATCGTCCACGCACGGACCCACGCCAGCATTGGCTCACACACGCGCTCTCCAATCCCAGACGCTTATCTCACTGCTTCCAATTCCCTGCTGAATCTCCAGAGAGCCACAAAGACAAAGAACAGGGCCTTCTTAAGGGGTTTCTACTCTGTTGTGATTTATGTTAAGATTCAGCTGAGTTAGGCCACACCCACAGCGCCTCCTTCGTTATCTGCTGGAAATGTCTTCGAGAAACAAATGGTGCTCATGTAAATATAATGCTATTTTGTGATAAGTTTAGCTACTGGGTAGATGGGATAGGAAAGACTAATGAAAGCACGAGAACGTATTATCATCGGGGTACAAGCATAAAACAGCAGGCAGACTCTGTAGCCATAGTTAGTAGAGGGGAAGAATATTACGTATATAATTCACCACACCTTGCACAGAGCTAATGAGGACGACAGACGAGATGTGACGCCATATCTGAGCTCCTTGTGACACAAGTGCACACATTTAAACACCAAAAAAGCACAGGAACAAGCAACAGGCACCGGGGAACGAGCGTAGCAGCAGGAAGGATAATGAAAGCCAATCAAAAGTGAAAACTGTGCCAACGCTGGACACAGATTTCAGACAGTAAGAGTCATGCAATGGTTTTGTATGCAAATAAAGTTTTTCACATTTTTTCATGTAACAGCCACAAACTTTAATATATTTGACAGGGATTTAGAACAGCGCCAATTCATACAACGTTGTAAAATACATGAGTTTCAAAATGTTTTACTGATAAAAAGCTTTAAAAAAGTACATGGCCTTATTACCAGCCTGTGTACCGTTTGAATAAAATATTATGTGACAAATGATCTTGAAGAACCTAAAAATTAAAGTCAATCTGTGAAATAGAAATAATCAGAGCAGCAGACAGGATTATGTTGTAGGTATAATTTTCTTCAGCAGTGCAAAGAAGCTTGTCAGGGGTGATCTGTGGTGCTAATTACACTTTACTTCAAGAAAATAAATGTTTGAGGCAACAAAGAGTCTAAAAATAAAGTTGGAGATAAAAAGTAAAGATTTAGATTAGGAATTTCTAACCGTGGTTTTCAGGGGAATTTCTAACCGTGGTTTTCAGGGGCCACTGTCCTGAATGCACCCCTACTTTGACACATCTGGATGAAATGGTTTAATTACCTTTGCAGGAGGTCATGGTTCCACAGAGGCCTGATAATGTGCTCTTCATTTAATGAAGGTGTGCTTTATTAAAAGAAGCACACCTTCATGATTAATGTAAAGGCTGTGGGACAGTGTCTCTCGGTGACTGCAGCTAGGAACGCCTTCTTTAGATCAAGTGAGATTTATGCATTACAGTGGCCTAGACGTAAACATAAACCTGTGGCAATAACTGTAAACTAATGTTTGCGGAACGCCTCACTTTAATTTGACTGAGGTTAAGCTATTTTACGACGAAGAATGGGTAAAATATACTCCAAGATTTGCAGCTGTAATATAAAGAGAAGGTGATTCATTCTACAAGGAGGCTGAAAGAAACACAGAACTTGGATTTTTATCAGTAAAATATTCAAAACAACATTTCACTTCCATTCTACTTTGTAAATATCATAAAATGTGAATAAACTCACACATCATAGAAAGTGGTCTCAGGATATAACAAAGACATTTTAATGGCCGTGAAAGAAGAGATTTTCTTAAACGCAGCAAATGTAATATTTTTCAAAAAGGTGTCTGTTAAATATTTATAACTTCATACATTTAAATGCTTTAGTCAAAATTATAAAAAAAAATAAAAAATAAAAATAAAAAAAGAGCTCAGTTTGTGGGATCTGGGTCACAGTGTGTGGATTGCGGACGATATCCAACACGACACTTTTAAAGCCTCTGAGCCACTGTAGGCGGCAACATGACTCATGCTTTTAATATGATTGGCTTCTTGAGATGATGGTTTGTGTCATGGCACCTGGAGCACAGAGCAATCAGCGCAGCTCAGGCTCTTGGAGAATCAGCATTTGCTGTGCAATGTGCGCCATGAGTGCACCAAACTTGAAAGTGGAGTAGGACGATGTTAGATGGTATCTCCGTGCCAAACATCTGTTATTATGACTTGTCAATTAAGGACAGGCTTGCTTCTTCTTCTTGCTATCCTTCAGCCTGGATCTGCGTGGGAGATGGACTGAAAAAAAAGGCTGCGAAAATGTGAAAATTATAAGCTAGGACTTGGCATCATTGCAATGTTCTACTAAAGTAAGCAAAGTACATTCTAGTGTCCTTTACATTTGTAATTTTGTCACAAATATAAAGTGTGAATTTCCTTGGTTAAAGTTTTTGCATATAATTTGATATCGTCTTATGTAGCTGCAAAATCCTGCTCCTCTATGAGGTGTTTTAGCAGCTAGGATATGCTATGGCAACAGAAGGCCCATGGGTTTCACGCACATAAAAATACAGCACTAACAAGTGTAGAAGCTGCACTGCAATCTGAGCAGACTGTGAACCCTGACAACTGATCTGGAAAGCTAGACTGTAGCAAACAGAATTAATAAGATATCAGGTCAAAGTTGAGGAGGGATTCACAGCTATATAAAGAGTGGGAAATATTTCTATGGACTAATATATGTTCATTTAAAATGTTGTACTTTATGGGGTTTATAGCTGTTTTTAGTAGATTTTGAATTTTGATTCTTCTCCCTTGATTTACCGTTGTCTATTTTTGGCACCTTGATTGTTCTGCAGTTACCCTGCTCAGATGTTTATTTGAGTTTCATGTTTTATGATTCTCTGCTTTATCGCCATTCCTCAAACTAAGCATGAAAGATAAATACATGTTCCCCTTAGCTACTGTGGAGAACTCGATCTCGTATCCCAGGCTAAAGCTCGGTTTATAGTTCATGTTAAACTGGCCTTGTGCGCTGTCACGGTGGCTGGTCGTCCACCTCATAATAGTCTATTAGGAAGGTGCTTTTGCAGAGGAAGTTCACCTGTACTGGCATTTATATGACCACTCTACAAAGACTCTTTTTACCACACCAACATAGACGTCAGGTATAAACGCCTCTTCGCTTGCTTTGCCTGTACGCGTTTTCTGTGGTGGAAACCCTGAGACAAAATTGTCCCAGTAATCTACTACCAGAGAAAAGACTCCATGGTGTAAAAGGCAAAAGCCTTCAGACGGGAGGGGTTTATTTAAATGCATTAATGCTACAGGTAATCAAAACACACACACACACGCACACGCACACACACACATATATTGTAGGTCCACTATTCTTAAATCACTTGGTTGCTCTGGTCATCAACAAAGCTTATGATGTTTGTCCTGGTCTTCAGATAGTTTTATATTTTTATAGAGAAAGACGGGAAAACAACTTACGTGTGACTCCTGCTGAATGGTGTGAAAACAGTGATTAACATTTATGAGGGGTGTGAAAGGATGTGTGCACAATCTGAAACCTTTTGCTACTTTAACAAAATAAATGATTTTTTATGTTAAAGTAGAGAAATGTTTCAGATTTGCTGTTAAAATACATCAATGTTTGTGGTTGTATTGAGAACATTGTATTTTATTAAGTTACTGTAAAAGTTGTTTTATACTCTGAGCTCAGAATACACCTCATAGTTTAATGACTATCGAAATGATAAACCTACACAATACTATACAGATTTAAAGGTTATTGCATTTGTTATGCAATTCAGAAATGCTGGGGTAGCAAAATTGAATTAAATGTCTCTCGATAAGTCAAACTGCAACTTTGGTGTGTGGGTATTTTTCAAAGTAACTGTTGCAAATGTTGACTAAAATACCCGGCGATACTTATACCAATGTGACATATGTGAAATGTACACAACATTTACAAGTGCACAGCTTGAACATTTCACCACCCACACCGCCACACTCTAAGGATCTGATCACTCACTTAACCTTGTTCATTGTAACACCCTCACAAGCCACGGTTGTCAACAAGTTGAGTGGGGACTCTGGAGGCTGACCTGTGCTCTCTGTGGCATCCAGACTGCCTGCTAGCTGCTCCAGGAGGCGGGCCCTGGCAGCATTTCTGCGATGTTTCTTCCCCTCGTAGTGCTGCTGGGCCATCAGAGGGTTGTTGAACCAGGCTCCGCATAGGCAGCAGTACTTCCCGGCCTCCCTGCCACCGTTTCCACTGAGCTCTGGCGTTGGCCAGGGTAAGGCGGGGGAAGCGTTGGGGTCTGTGGGCAGGGGGGTGGAAGGTGAGGAATCTGAAGGAGAAAAAGAAAAAAAAAAAAAAACGGCAAAAATTAGAGCCGAGGAGGGAGTGCTGCAGGATTAAAAAGAAAAGAAGGGGGAGTAAAGGTGGATATTAATGTTCATTCAAATGCAAATTGAGCCCTAATGCAAAAATGACACGAATTGAAAAAATTTATATTAAATTATTATACTGGTATGAAATTTAATGCATTCACATTCACTCATGAAACAAGATGACGTTGTTAATGCATGGTCCTGAGCACCCTCATTAAGTTTGCACTTGCTAGTGGCAGGTTGTACCCATCAAAGTAGACTTTGTTTGCCAGATCTGTGCCAAGTGTCACCCTAGAGCACTCTGGGGTCCAATCTTCAAGAGCTGCCTTTCTGCTCACATTTACCATCCTGCTAATCCTTTCCATTTCATCTTTTTTTCAACATCCCCTTGTCTTGTCTGTCCTCTGAGGGAATAAAAAGGGGAAATGGCAGACTTCCAGGTGACCTGCTACTCATGACACGACACTGGTTACCATGGTGATTGTCCATTAATAGCCAACAGGCACTGATATGGCCACAGGACGTAGTAGTGGCTCTCACAGAGAAGATAGCATGTCTGCGTGTGTGTGTGTGTGTGTGTGTGTGTGTGTGGGTGTTTGGGCGGCGGATTGAATGTGTAATCCCTTGAGAGAAAGTGTGTGTTTGTGTGCTAGAACGAAGATCCAGCACAGCCTGCTTTGCATGTGTTAAGGTACAATACGTATACGAAAGACATCAACCCAGGAGGGGAGCTAGGTCCACAGCCAGACTGAGAGGGAAAGCTTATGATGCCAGATGGTATCTCCAAATGTGCCAATTCACTATCCTGAATGAGTCAAAGACTTCAGAGTCAGACCGACTGTGCCGGTAAACCTGCACTGCCGCACGTTGGTACGTTTCATACCACAAAACAAAAGCCCACTCATGCATGGTTTTGAACCAGGATGAGTCACTGATTTAACTGCAACCACTAACAAATGAAGAGCATGCATGAATTTTTGACCACTGACCCCTTGAGGTCAGCTACAGAGAGGATCTGTTCTATGCGGTCCTGTGTTGACTGAACTCTAGCCCGGCGATCTGATTGGCTACTGACACCTTGATGTGTCTTCAGGCTCTGTTCACATAGTTACCGTATCTATGGCTGTGCCTCTGCTCATTGAACCCGCCACGCCCACTCACATTCGCTTTGCTCGTCTCTGCCATGCCACCCCATGTTCTCAGTTACTCAAACACAAACCTGTAACGATGTGGCTGTCGTGTCTCTTTTTTTAAAAATCTTTCTCTGATCCCGTGAAAGATGAGGGGGTCATCAAAGCTCTGGATGATGTTTGTCTGTTTTTGTGTGCCCATGCATGAGTGAAGTTCCTCAGCTCTGACAGCTTTGTGGAAAAAGTACTGAGCAGAAACAAAGAGAGAGAGAGATCCTCCAATGTAATTTCTCTTTCCCTGCCTTTGTTTTCCCACCATTTCCCCTTTTGACTGTGATCTCTGTACATTGGAGCAGAAGTAAGTGTTTTTCATGGAGTGGGGCACAGAGAGAGAGAGAGAGTTAGAGAGAGGGGGAGTGTGTGTGCGTGTGTGTGTGTAACATTAGCAGGAAGTGCTCAATTGATGTGCACAGAGGAACAGACACAGGTATTTCTTCTCTACCTCTCTAGGGTTTCTACAGCATCTATTGACTTTTCTTTTTCTTACTTCAGTGAATGTTGGAGTCCAGGTTTCTAAGTAAATGCATCAGTCATCCTGCTTTTGTGTGTTTCTGATGATCATGTAAGTGTATTCGTGTTGTGATGCCCATGTACGGCCTTGGCCTGTCGACTTGGCTGTGCGTCTTTTGCGCTGCACTCATCTCAGTGAGCTCACAAAGGCTAGCTTTGACTTTAATCTCTCCTGAAATCCTCTCCTTCTCTCCCAGGTCACTCTTCCTCTCTTCTTGTGCTACTTCCCCCTGTATCTTTTCCTCCAGGTCCCACTGTCATAAAAAGACAGAAATTCCACAGCAGCAGCAGCACAGAAGTGACAGTTTTCCAAAGTAGGCCAAAGTTTAGCAGGAGTCACTTTGGGGGTTGATTATAATGTTCCATTTTGAAGCAATGGTGTGTTTACAGCTCTGTGAATTTTCCCTTTCACTCCAATTTGTATCACATTATGTAAAACTTCCTTGGAGATAACTCGCCAGAACACGAATTTAAGAAATAGATACTCAAACACCCATGAACAAAGAGTAGGAAATAACTAGGAGACTGTTTTACTTGGCAGAGATTTTGTATTGCTAATTATACGGTCTTTTCAGTTTAGGCTTTTTTTTCCTCTTGACTCTCTAAATTTTAGACTTTAAGTAAATTTACGGCCAATCGGGGAACAGAAAGAGAAGTAATGAAAGTTCATGTTGATTTTCTGCACTGTTATAGAATTGTAGTCTGATTGTAGTTTTAGAAACGTTGGTCATGTTTCCAAATATACTGAGTTAACATTAATAGCCACCTTGTTCAGATTAACAGCCACTTCTCTCTTCTCAGTGGGAGATGGTTGTTTTTACAGCACAGGCAGTTTATGGTAAGTTTCTTAGCATCGAACTGGCGAATTACATTGGTAATGGGCAAGCGCTAGCAATTGGGTAAAATGTAAAACCTCAACAAAGTCCACATCTCCAGGAATCAATTGTTTCTCTAAAGCCAATAGCCCAAACCCTCTGCATGGAGCAAAGTGTAGTGCAAGGTGCTGGTTTTTACCAGGCTAGTGCTTATCACCACTTAAGCTTCTTTCGAATTTCAAAATATATTACTAGCATAGAGAGACTGAATGCCTGAAACTTAAATAATTGCTTAATACTCTATTTGTTGCAGTCTTGGCACTTTGCAATATTCATGTTGTGTCCAGTGATATTGCAATAATGATGCATTTATGATATATTTTGCAGCACTATAAGAAACGTTGAGGGAAAACAATAGCTAGTTTGTGTGGAAAAGTGCTCCAACATTTACTTTCAAAGGACAGAGTTTGTTGACTGCCAAGAGTGTGAATCTGTGTGTGGGTGCAATTCATGCTGCTAAACACATATTTGTCTCTGTGGGAACCAGCCTCCCCCATCATTTTAACCTAATGATATAAATTGAAGGCTTGTGCCCTAAACATCAAAAAACATTAGGTCAAAATATTTATGTACCCTTTTTGCTTTGTCAAAGTGTTGGAGCCTGCTGCAGTCAGGGAGTAAGACCTGCTTTGGGTACGCAGATAAAACAGACACAATCAGAAGAATAATTCTGCAATCTGCATTCAGACTTCTAGCTCAGCTCTTTGTCCATCACACAGGGAAGTCTAAATGACATGACAGTACAGATGTTTTCTTTAAATTAAGACTTCTGACTGTGTTAGCTGACAAGCTGAAACAGAATAAAACTTTTTTTTTTTTTTTTCCATGTGGAACACCCACCTGGAAGTGCCTTAAAAGTGGCAGCAAATAAAAATGTACTTTTAATTGGCAGCTTTTTTCATGCTAAACTACTTTGTGGTGGAATTGAACTTAGTTCAGAATTTTTGAGGTGGTGAACCATGAACACAAACTACAAGCATTTAAGTTTTAACCTGCAAATGGATCTCTTATTAAGGGTGAAGTTGCACAAAACTGCTTACTCCAGTCTGTTTCACTCTGTTTTTAGCAAACTGTCTCACAAATGCTCCAGAGATGCTTAGTTTTCCTGCTTCAGCAGTGCTTGCAGTTTGTTTGGAGTGATTACATTTTTGGGCTTATTCTTGACCTTGTGCCTTGAGCTTTCGAAATTTTGCCTTTGGGCTCTCCTCTGCTACTGTGTCTTTATTTTTAGGTCTAATGTTTTGGCTGAGAGGTGCCTACAATGTATCCATTCGTAATGGATACATTTTTATACCTACACACATAAAAAATGGGATATATAATTAAAAAGTATGTCATTTATTGAAAAATTGTCACATATTGAGTCCATTTCAAGTTTTACACCATGGAAAGGATACAGATCTGGGTTGTGGCCTCCAGCTTTCCGTTTCTTAATTCATATCCAGTCCTTGGAGGATTTACAAACATGTTTAGGTTCAATGCCGTGTTAAAGGCTCCAGTTCTGCTTCAGCTTTAAGTTTCTTTTATACAGGTGGTCTCCCAGTTTCATCATGTACCATTTGAGACTTGGTAGAACTCATGTTAGCAAGCTCACCATCGTAGCATCCAAGTCCTGCTGGAGCCAAGCATACCTGTGAAATGACACATCCACCTCAGTGCTTTCACACTTGGTATGAAAGCAACTCTCTGGGTTTGTTTCTGATGAGGGAATGACGTTATGACAACATTTAAAGTCTATTTTGCATAATGCCTCCCATTTAAATATGTTTCCTAGTTTTTTTCTGATCAGTTATTGCCTTTTGTCAATATATCTTAGAATTTTTATTTGTTTTTTATTAATTCATATTGAATTTTTCAGTAGTTCTAAAACCGAGTTGTCTACATTATTGCTAAAGTGATTTGCACAGATAACAACAAAGGTAAAATGCACCTGTGTTTGTAGGGCTGGTTATGGCTGCGGGCAGGTTTGGTGGTTCCCCAAGCACGAGGCGCACTCTCTTGGCGTGGGTCTTCCCTTGGTAGTGGGACTGGGCCACAATGGCGGAGGTGAAGAACATGTTGCACAAGGTACAGCACTTGTTTCTGTCTACTTCTGTTTCTGCACAGTCCTAGAAAGAACAGAAGTGGGAAAGATGGTTAAAGGGAAGGAAAACGGTAAATCTGGTGAAACATAGATTCATGATAAAATATAGGAACAAAGAGAAATAACCTCTTTCTCAGAACTCAGTAGGCTTTCTCTCTCTCACAATCACACACAGACACATGCCAACAAACACAAAGGCAAAAAGAGTGACGATCAAATATGCATCTGTCTCTCAGGGCTGAGATTGTGGTCTGGCCTCTCCACTGCTGCTGGTTCATTACTAATGATGAGCCAGCGTTACTCCCCGTGGGAGACGGCGCAAGCTAAAGGACCAACTGTCTGACTGACACAAATGTGCGAACACACACAAGTTTATATCTTCACCAGACAAAGACAGACAGACAAAAATATAGCTTTGCTGTCATTAAAAATGCCCAAACAAAGCGAGACTGAAAATGTTACCTTGAAAGAAAAAATGTAGGAATTAACAAGCAGATGAGAAATAACATGAAAAAAAAAAACCCAACAAAAAAAGTATCAGATTATTCAATACAATTATCATATATAGAATTATATATGATTCAGTATACGAAGCATATATATTGATTCATATATATGAATAAATGATTATATGGGAGTGGTTGGTTGTCAAAACCAAGCACTCCCACTTAGGCCTTCCTTGTCTGAAAAAAAATATTTGTCTGGGAACAGCACCGGGATAAAATGTGCGACCCATGTACGGATGTCTTAGCACTCTACAAGACTGTCACAGGTTCGAGTCCCGGCCAATAAAGGCCATTAGAGGCTAATAAATAAATAAATGTTTGATGATCAAAAATAATAGTTGTGACAAAATGAAAAACACAAAAGAAATCTGTGGGGGACATGTTTGTAAGCAAAACACATTACATGTTTAAGTCAGCTTCACATAAATAATTTCTTATCTAGTGTAGAGGATATTTTATTTAGACTGCTGCTCAAACTTTACCCAACTGCTGGGCTCCCTGAATATGTGAATATCATAAAATTTTGAAACACATTTGAAAGATTTTGTGTATAATACCCCAGTAAAAAAAAAAAAAATGAAACAAGCTGTCTTTTACAGTCTAAGACTATAAAAGTCTAAGAATTTAGACTTTCATATTCTAAATTCTTAGACTTTAAAAGAGGACTATACAAGACGTTTTGAGTGTCACACTCAAAACACTCACTGCTTTGAGTATGACCTTTCTTTTCTTTCTTTCTTTTTATCCATCCTTGTATTTTTGTGTTTGACTTTCGGGGTATTTTTTATTCTTTGCTTCATTTTTTGTTTATCTGTCTGCTGTCAAAGTGAAAAACAAAACAAGCAAAAAGATTTTCACAATTGCTGTTACAATAAGTGAATACAGTAACAGTGTAGTCCCTTGAACATCATATTTGAATGAGTGGGTGAAAGCTGTGTGTCTCTGAGGATGTGTGTGTGTGTATCTCTCATGTCATCCCTAGTTAGCGTCACGGACAGTGATGTGAGAGATAAGGACACCTTTACCTTCCAGGCTTTCTCTCTCTCTCTCTCTCCTTCTCCTTTACTCTCTTCTCTTTCTTTTGTTTTTGTTTTTTGTCTTGCCTGCCTTCCCTTTGCTCTTAGCATTTCCTCCCCTGCATCCTCTCTCCCCCTCTGGGTCCCAGTCTCAGTGACTCTGTGTGTTGTGGGATGAAATATTTATCTGTATTGGCAGGCCCTCGCCACCCCCTCCTCTCCCTGCCCTCTCCCGCCTCGCCTCTTCGCCTCCTCCATGCCCTGCCTGCTGTGAACGACGTGTAAATGCGTGCCATCAACTGTCCTACGCCTCTCCCCTGCATCAATAAAACAAACTGAATTTCTCTCACTGCTTTATATTCCTTTTTCTGTGACTTAAATGGCATATATATAATAATTTGCGCAACTTTTCCTTATGATATATCTTTTCTGGCTTGTAGGCCATAAAACAAATGTAGGTCATAACGTTCATTTACATAGAAATATGTAAAAAAAAAAGTGTGTCAAAGATCAAACAGAGCACAGAAAAGCTGAGAATGTAGCCAAAAGTTTGTTTCAAACAAAAATAATAAAAGCCAAATCTCCAGGTCAAATGTGAGATTACAAAGTGAATATTTATTTGGATAATCCTCCATGAGGATGGGGAAGTTAAGAAATGTTGATTGTGAACAGAATCTTGGAAATCTAGCAAACTAGCACCCTATTGTGTCCGTGTGTGTGTGTGTTTGTGCGCATGTAGAATCTTTAATTCCAATTTTGCTATATTTTAAAAAAGCTGCAGGCAAATTAGCCTGCAGCTAGAAAATCTTCATACAAAACAATGGTTGCTTTGATTCTGTCATGCAACATTTCTTCCTGCTGTGTCGCTGATTAAATAAGCTTGAATTGAATTCAACATCTAGAAAATGAAATATGCTTTGTGAGTTAATGTTGGTATAATACCAAGACTGCAGTTGGAGTAAAACTGTTACCAACTGAGAGACCATAGACCAAACAGTGTGTTTGACTGTTAACTTTCACAATGCTGAGCCACATTTCCTACATTGCTGATGTCTGAGACAAAAGTGCTCAGTCCATCCTTACTCTAAGCAACCGAGTGGACAAAACGAACAAAAAATAATCAGTTGTCAAATTCATGGAAAAGGTATTTTTCTGTCAAAGAAATCTGTGATTACCAAGAAAGATTCCCTGATACTACACTCTTCATTATCGTCACACATATTAAAGTGCTTGTCCAGTTTTAAAGGTGTGACTGAAAAGGCTTGTTCTGCGTCAGAACAGGGATTTTAAAATTACTCATATCCTACGACTGATTGATTTATTGATGTTACACATAAATGACAGATAAAGCTCAACAGCAGAAAATTATCTGCACTTTTTTGATGTTATGTCTCCTTAAAAAATAAAATCAGCTTTTCCATAGTTATATGGTATTCAATTCTGTGCCATTTCAGAGACACTGTAGTCCTCTGAAGGGCAAATGCTTTCTATCCTGTCTTGTTTTTAAACAGAGTTTTTCCTCTCATATCCCCATCCCTTCATCTCTCCTCCCCCAAAGTCTCTCATGTGTACTTTATGCAACATTTCCTTCTCTTTTTATCCTTCTGTTCCTTCCTTCCACCTAAACCCTCGCTTACATTGTTTACTTCAAACCTCTCTGAACCAAAATCTTAGCTGAGGGAAATCAACTGGAGCAGCCCGTCATCCTGTAGCTTTTTTTTTTTTTTTCTTATTATTTTTCTTATCTTTTTTTTCTTGGTTAGGGACAAAGATCTGAAGATGACACCGTGCAGAAACTTGCAGGGGTCTCACCTGTCAAGACTCAGAGAAGAGTAAAAGACTCAGCGACACAAATGGGAGCCAAGCCACAGTGAAGCATCTGATTGAAAAGACGAAATACGTCACACCGGGGATTTGGGGAAAGCAGGGGAAAAGTTTTTAAACAATTTCATGCATGTGTGGGTGACTGACAGATGAATAATTGCCATCTCATTATGGCTGCCACTCTGCACAACCCCTTTAAACAATAAACAAGATGTCTGACTCACTGTTTCCCTCTATCCTCTGTCTTTGCTGAAAGTCATCAACCTTTCCAAATTTCCCTGTTATTTTACTGTCGTTACCTGTCGCACGTCAAACATCTGTCGCGACTGATTTGCATGCAACCTAATTGTTGTGTGCTTGTGTCAACATGCATGTATGCCTTCTTATCAGCTGTCTGACAGTGTCACCTGTATTGCTGCGTATATATATATATATATGTGTTTTTTGTTTTTGTTAGGGTGACTTCTTGCAACTCATACAACTAACAATAGACTCCTAATTAGCAGTGTTTATCTTCTTCTCCTTCTGTTTTGTTTTTCTCAGCTCCTCCTTGATTTTCCCACCGTTCGGCGCCGAGTTGCTGTGGGAAGTCTTGCTAAATTTACATGTGAAGCAGTGCAGAGTTTGAGGAAGCGCTAAGAGCAAATTGAAAGGGATAACAGCGTTATAATGCAGGAAGAATAAAAGCTGAAGGGAAAATGTGGTATTTTTTCACCCCGTGCAAAGGTAGAAAACTGCACAGAGAAAATGGGAGGTTAAACAAACCATCCTGTGGATTTGTGAGCACCTTTACGACCTACTTTCTCTCCATCTTCTCCGTGACAAACACTTCCACTTTACACACAAACACAGAAAACCTCAAGGCATGGCATTTTACTCTGGCAGTTCATTGACTCTGAGGAAAACCTTTTCTGCCGTTCCCACCGGACAGCGGCGTGTCAATCAGAGCAAAAACAGAGAGAGAGAGAGAGAGAGACAGAGAGAGAGAAAACACACTTAGATGCAGCGGTGAGAAAATGTGTGTGAAAGTTCCCATGGGAGGGGAAAGATAAAATAGATGAAAGGAGAAAAGATTTTTTATTTTTTTTTTACCCAGACTGACTGAGTATTTCATCTCTGCTCATCTAATATCAGCTTCCCAGCACTGTCTGATACAATCAAGCACAAGGCACTTGCTGCAGCGCTCACGCTGCATTACAGTATGGCAGATGATTGGTGTGTGTGCTTGTCTGATGACCTGTTTATATGCATTCACTGTCCCATATGAGGTGCAGGCCAGGATGGGCTGAGTCATGTCTTATTCACCTTGGGAGACAGATGGAGACGCAGGTGTCTATATTTCTGCACTGCGTGTCAGTGTAAGTGCACAGCCAAAGTCTTTTGACAAATTATTATTTAATAAGTGTAATCTGGGCAATTTTACTTCTGTTAGAAACTATGTTAGAGTTTAATAGATCCAAAGGTAAGTATTAAACATTTGAGCAGTGCTGAACCCAAGTGGAATTAAATTCCAGTTTAAATGCATCTTAAGTTCCCAATTTCATTTTGTTAAAACTTTTCTTGAACTTTTTCAGAAATGCTCTCTTTACAGGCCTTGTATATGGAGAATACTGTATTCCAGTTTGCTTTATTCTCCATCTCCATCTGATGGAAAAGCTTTAGGTACTCGACTTTGTGGCAGCTTTCAGTTTTCTGTTTATAAACTGACTTTTAGGCTCCCTCAGTGCCATGATTCCTCCATGCATGTGGAAGTTAGATAAAAAGCAGGAGTTGACACTTTTTCCCATAAGGAAAACAGAAAAAAAACCCCGTCAAAGCCAAAAAGGAGACTCTCTAAAGAGCTACATGTTGAATTTGGCCTTTTTCTTCATGGGCCGAAATGACTTTTTTAATAAGGGGTTGGATGCTTCCAAGGATAATAAAAGATAGTGAAAGGTATGTGAAGTAAAACCCACTTTAAAAGCCTTTTCTGTATGTCACTTTAAAAGGACCTTGTATATCTATAGGTTCAGTGAAAAGCAAACCCTTATCCATGCAGGTGGCAACTCTGAAAAACACGAGAAGACTACGCGCTTGTCAGATGATAAGCATAAGTGTTTTCGTCTGAGTGCCTGTAAATAGATATGATAGTTCCTTTGAAGTGTTATTATAAATTCTGAACACTTCAAAATAATCCAGTATGAGTCATAGTTTTAAATATTAATTGTGTCAAATTTAGTGTCTAAACCTGTCTTTTAGTTATTACTATGATTACATGATAAATGGTTTTCATTTGTGTATTTCTTTTTTAGATCTGGCAACCTAGAGGGATGGAAAGTGGGTTCAAACCAGCAACACTGAGCCACTGCAGGACTGTAAGAAAAACCTTACAGCTAAAGTTATAGATTGTTGACATTGTTTTAAAACTTAGGTCTGTCTGATGTCTGAAGTAGAAGTAAAAAAAAGAGGAGTCCACTTACCACTTACTGCTAACTTTACACTAGATCCAGTTCTGACTAGTTGACTGAGACAACCTTTCCTTCTGGAAGCACAGACTACGGCAGAGCTAAAACAATATTCTCCCAATCAGATCACATGGAAGACTATTCACCTTTTCTAGGTTTTGTTGCCCTAAATTTTAATAGATTGATTGAAATTTCTCCCTACATAACTCAGACATGCACTTGGTGTCACTAAGTCAATTTCTCTAAGTGTTTTCCATTCGTATCAGCAACCTGAGTTGTAGTGATCCGGTTAGGGGACCTCCAGACATCCACAAGCCTGTGCCAGAAGAGACAGTGCACCTGATAGGCTCAGATCAACCCTTGGCAGACTGAACCTGCTGTAAAACCAGAGAACTCATTATCTCTCAAGCTAATAGAGATGAAGGTGCGGAAATGCATAAAAGACTTCACCTGTTTTCAGGGGATGTTACCCAGATCTCAATAAGTAAGGCTGCTTTTCCCCTTCTATTATGATTGCTTCTGGGCTTTGACTTTAAATGATCAGGAGTGGTTCCAAACCTCATTTTTCATTTTTCTTTAACAGTTTTTGCTCTTAGTTAATGAAAACCTCCGAGACACTGGCAAACTTGATTTTTTTAAAATCATTTTTAAATTATTTTTGTCATTTCTTGATATTTCATTTTTCATTCTACAGTGGATCTCCTTTTCACATTGAGATTCCTCACATTTCCACTTAATTGCTCTATTAATACAATAGTGAGTTAATGTGTGTGACAGTGCGAGTAAACAAGATCCGAATCAACATGTTGGACCTCAAAATATTTAAATATTTATCGATGCATAAAGGCCTGATATGTGCATCTTAGATTTTAGACCAAATATATTTTCATTGTGGTTAAAATGGGATTATCAGTAAATATAATCTTTTATGTGATAATGAATGTTTGGATGCACACAGAGGAAATAAATTATGTAAAACAATCACAGTCTACACAGCTATAAACAGTGGGAGAAAAACAAAGACATCAGAGAATCTCATCTTATCGGGCAAGTGGGATACATTAAAAACTAGGCCAATATATCACAAGGGAATGTTATTATCTCAACAAAGGCAATTGGTTTTTAGCAGTAACTCCATAGTACACTACTCTCTTTCTATTCTGGTGCAAAATTTGTCCTAATAATTTTGCTTTAAAGATAAAGACAACTCTATCTAGCATCTCCAACAATGGGAATATTAACAATTGCTTCAGCTCATTTAGTCAAAGTGATACATTTTCTGACAAGAAAAATAAAACGTCAGTGATCTCTCCACGTTGACTAGCCTTCTACTGTGGCTAAATTTATTGATTGTGGAATGCAGTTTATTATTATTATTATTATTATTATTATTATTATTATTATTATTCTTTCTTAAAAGCTGTTTCTCTAAAGCAGACACTGAAAATATTAATTTTGTGCATTTCAGTTCATGCCACATGGGTCACACCAAATAAACTGGCACACATTGTGGAGTTGCACATTTTCTTGGAGGACTCTCAATACATAATAATGACTGCACATTTAAACATAAGCACCAAAATACCTTCTATGCCTCATCTTTGATGCGCAACAATTTGCTACAAATGCAAATGCAACCTCAGCAATTGCCATAGTTTCAAAAGATGCAAATCATGCCATTTCCAGAGCAAATTCACACAGGAGAACAGGAATAATAGAACGACCTCTTTAGAAAAGGCCTGCCAGATGTAGAACTACTTGGCAGAATCTGCTTCTACTAAATCTTACAAGACACGTTCAGGAATATTTATAAGGAAGAGCAAACACTTTCCTACAGCAGTCACGGTCTACAACTGTAGCTGGTCAGTGTAGTTTTTAGTCATTTAGAAACAATTAAAGAAATGAATTCCTTCTATAAATTCCTTCTACTTTGATCTGAAAAGACATATTCATGTTAGTTTAGTAAAACAGGAAAAAAAGACAAATAAATACACACTAACATTAAGTATGAGCTTACTGGGTTATCTGGCCTCAGTCTTTTGGAAGGTGGTCCTCCATCTTCAGGGTGAAGCATGTAGAACAGACGTACCTTGTTAGCGTGTTTCTTACTCTGCAAGAAAGACAGAAAGTGAGAAATTTGAAGACAATCCACAACCACCACTCCATCTCACCATGTCTCTCCACGCTTTCAGTGTAGAGGGCATCTGCCAACAAAGGTTCAGAGTTGGAAAGCATTAATTCTCAAACTTTTGAATACTTACTTGCTTCACCCATGAGTTTTTATATATTTCATTTGGACATTTTGTGACACAGACCAGCACAAAGTAGCACATAACTAAATCTGAAGAAAAAGCATGCTGAAAACGGTGGTATGTTTATAAGGCAGGGATAGGTTATAAATCAGTAACGCTGTTCTATCCATCATCTGAAAATGAAAAGAATATGGCACAATTGCAAAGCCAGAGAAACTTGAACATTCACTTAAAATGTCAGTTTGGTATAGGAGGGTATTAATCTGAGAGGCATCCAAGAGGTCCATGGGAAAGCTGGGGAAGCTGGTGTGGAGAATTGTCGGTTCTCCATGCGAAGTTCTTGATGTATGAGGTTGAAGAAGAGTCAGTGAATTGAATTCATGAATTCCATTTATTAATACTAAAATACAGCTGGTCCATTTCTCATGCTACCTTTAGGAGCTGGCAGGACAAATGGCATCAAGCAACAATTAGTAATTTCCTTTGTTAGCCTCTGTCTTAGCTGCGCCCTAAAAAGGGCATTTCCTAGTGTCTCATTTCCTTTAGCTTTAGTTTTGCAACTTGCTAAAAGAGATAGAAGAAAACACAGAATTATTTATTCTCAACACTGGAGAGACCCATAGCTCATGAATCTGTTGAGAACAGCAAACTGGTCTGGTGAGAGGAGACTAAAATTAAACATTTTGTATAACAGGCAAGTGGATATGGTGGAAAATGATGCACATCTTCCTGAAAAGGCCACAGTGACAACTAGTGGTAGCATCATGCTGCAGGAATGCTAAACAGACAGCCAGAACTCTGCGTCCTCTAAGACGCATGTTTTAGTTCTCTCAATCTTTCTGCTACATCCAGCAGTTCACTTAAGGTGCTTCCGCACTGCACAGAACGGTACGGTACGGAACGGTTCCAGCCCTGTTGTGTTCGCATTACAATGAGGCGCCATCGAAGCGGTGCCGGACGTCATTATCTTTAAAACTAAATGTGGTTTGAGTTGGTTGGTTTCTAACTGCCAATTTAATAAAGAAGAAGAAAAATTTACCTCATTGTAGTGCAATGTAGGTCATCGCACTACATTGAGACGAATCCATTGTTAATTAAAACTAATAATAAAAATATTGCAAAGAGCACTCTGCAAAATATAGTAGTGAGAGCCAGCTGTCAACGGAAAATCAACGTCTGACTAACAACCAGCGGCCAATCAGCTGCTGGTTCTAAGCAGAACCGCTTGGCCGGTACGATTGGAACCGCAGCTCTTGTGGTTCCATGGGGCCGGGTGGAACCGGTCGCAAGTTGTAATGCGAACACACTCGGAACCGTTCCGTTCTGTACCGCTCCGTGCAGTGCGAAAGCGCCTTTACATACTGGTTAAACCGTGCCTTTTCAATTTAAATCAGCCAATCAAACTCCAGCTCTTGTCACTGTTCTTTCTGTAAAAGAGCTGGGTTTCCAAGATGGCTCCCACAGAAGACACACCCACAAGGTAACAAACATTTCAACCACACATACAAAAGGTTAATTTACACACTGTAAAACTAAAATTAGAGAAAAACCTGTTGCTTCTAAGCAGCTATGTAAAGCTTTTTGAGATATAATCCCCATACAACAAGCTGTATTTGCAGAGAAATGTGGTTTTACAAAGTATCAACTGAGAGGACTTGAGTGCAAATGTAGTTGGGCCACTTGACAGAGTTTTATTTTTTTTTAATATTGTTTAATAGTGTAAGCCATGTATTATTTTGATAGCAAATGTAGATAATTGATGGATAGGTGTGTTATTTTGATGCCAGTTATGCACTATTTTGTATTGGTCTATAAAATCCTAGAAAAAATATGTTAAAGTATGTGGTTGTAATGTGACGACATGTGAAGAAGTTCAAGAGGAATGGTATTTTCATAGCACATTGTGATAAATGGCCTGGGTTGCTCACAGCTTCCGGAAGAGATAATTAAGATATTAAGAATGAGATTATGGAGTTAGACATTTCTTCACTTGCAAATTCACACTTTATATTGCTGAGAGAAGTGAGAAAAGAGTTTGGGTCCAACAAGTGATAATTAGGGCAAAAACAGTGATGTCATGGTTACCTACAAATATGAAACCCAACAAAAAGGAAACAATGACAATTCAACAAATGTATTAGGTATGTTAATGTGACATCTACTGAACTAGTTGAGTACAAAGTGTCTTTTTATTTGTTCCCCACATATTTAGAGCGTTCTCTCCTATTGCAATCGCTTCCTGTGTCATACGGGTTTAAAATACAAAGACTATAAGCAATAATGAGTGCAGAAATGTTTATATGAAAAGACAGTGAGCTGTCCTTGTAGCTGCTAGCTGTCACTTTAATAACGAGCAATGGAAATAACCGGACAAACGACAGGGCAGAGATGTGTAAATGTGAACGTGATCAGACATCTCTGGCAAAGTCGGGCCTTCATTTCCAATCTCCATATAAAACCTAGGATTGTCTCTAATCCCTATAGACTGCTGCTGCTTCAGAGCTGCAAAGAGAAACAGGACAAAATGCTGAGATACAAATAAAGATTTCAAGCATCTAAATCAAACATGTATAGCAGTTGGAAGCTGATGGGACATATTCTACAGAGGGTAATGTTCTAGTGGAGCAAGACGATTATCAGGCTGAAAAGCATACAAAGAAGGCAATTGGGAAACTGTGACAAGACTTGCACTTGCACTTGTAGCCCATCAGCTTATATTGGATCCTTTCCCCCCCAGCAGAAGGATTCCTCCTCAGCCTCACTTGTCACATGGCTGTTAATGCATTTTGTCAGTGGGTATATGCGCGTTTTCGAGTGTCTGAGAGTATGCGGTGTGTTTATAGGTAAATAAATGGCTGTGTGTTTGATGGCTCGGGGATCTAGACCGTAAAAGCTGGACCTTGAGTTGGTAGGCTACCCTGCAATGACCCTCAGTGCTCACACTGCTCTAATGGACTATGCATGTTTCTTCTCTCTCCTTTTCCTGTGTTGTGTCAAATCAAGTCGATGCAGACAGAGGAGAGGACTGCTAAAAGGAAAAAAAAGGCGTTTTGTTGTGGTGAGTTTTGTATACATGCAGCATTCAGCACAGATAAAGATCATAGTCAAGACTTGATCATCAGAAACATGTCTTCATATGTGTTTCAGGTGATCAAAAACACATATGTGAAGACATAATAGTGCCATTTTGACACTTTGCAAGTTTCAACATTTTTCTCTTTCATTTCGAAAAGTTCTTCCTGTCACAAGACCCCTGTTTATGTAGGCCTAATGGTTGTTTGTGTGAAAGAAAACTGGTTATTTTGTACATTAAAGGAAACAGACTTTTTATTTGATCTTTCTTTGAAATTTAAGATTTGTTGACTGAAATGAGTTGAATAAAGTCTTCATAAGTCAAGGTTTTAAAGTTACAAACAGGGGATTTTGTTAGTTTTTGCTGTTTCTCTTTCAAATAATGTTTGCTTTGCCTATTTGGGACATAAAACAGAAAACAGATACAAAAACAAAATGTAAACTCACATGTGCACGATGTGTGCGTTGTGCACAAGTCCCTCCTGCAGCACTCCAACCAATTAAAATGCAAGCAATTGTTAGATTTTATTTATTTACAGGAGACAGAAAAAAAAAAAATGTGACGGGGGGTGAGTAATTCTTTCACAATACTGCAATGTGCCAAAATCACCTGTCTTCAAGCGATTTCTTGCCTTGTCTTTTTGATCCACTGACCTCTGCAGAGATCTTTTGTAAAGGCTGACTCCGACAACATGGTGTGACTCATCTTGTCTGCTATATCTAAAGGCTGCGTTTTTTTTTTTTTTGTCAGACTTGAAAAATCAAGGTCAGAAATAGATTGTCATCAAATGAAAATAAAGCAAACACACCTGTGAGTAGACAGACACACACACACACACACGCAGGCACGCATGCACGCACACACCCACACACACACACACACGTGGTCATTGTCCTTGCTGAAGTCTCTCAAAAAAGCCCCTCGTTCTCATTAGTCCGCTTGTTAATTCTAATCCCGCCATATATAATCAACATTGACCTCAGTGCTTCGCACAGAATCAAGAACACGCCGAAAAACAAACAGATGCACTTTGCATATAGTTTCACGTTACCTAATTTAAAGACTGATTATTTAATGGCCTTTCATTATAACACTAATAGAAGGTCTGCTGAAAAGTAGACCACATCAAGACAGAATGAGCATGTTCGGGTGCAAGTAACTGCGATGCTCATGTAATCCGATGTATAATGGATGAGCAAAGTGTTGAATGGCACAAGTTCAAATTGGTACAAATAAAGCAGATGCATTGCAGGAACCAGAAGTAAAAGCAGTAGTAGTAATCATAGAAGCAGTTTTTGCTTTTAGACCATCCTACTTTTAATTTCTCTGAAAAATAACTCTGAAACTGAAGAGACAAGCTCACCTCATAGTGAGCGGTGCGCTGGGACTCGGAGATGAGCTGAGCGTTGCAGATGTTGCAATAGCTCTCTGTGAATAAACCTCCATCCACGACGCCCGCAGACTTCATCTTCATCTGAACCTGCATAAACACACACACACATGGCCAACCACAACGAAAATGAATATACAATATTAAAATGCACGACTGAATCAAGTGTGAGGCAACATTGCAGTGTGTGTGGAAGCTGTTTAAGCATGAATATTTCTCAACTTAAAAACAGTTTTTCCTCAAAGTGACTAATTAATCACAAAAGTTTAGCCCCAAATGTGTTGATCCTCTCCATCAGATTATCTTCTAGTGGGTTATTTTGGCTGCAGCTTTAAAAACAATAGCCAGAGGCTCAGGCTTTGCATTTAGCATTTTGTTGAGCAATAAATTATATTTTTATTTTGTTTTGTGTCAAACTTCTGTCAATAAACTCAGAACATGGAAAAACTGAAAAAAAAACTGCAATCATTTCAGCATAAAACAATTTTAAAGTAAAAATTCAAGTAAAAAAAAGTAATTCATTTAAAAATATATTTTTTGATATTTTAGTGATATTTAAAAGTGTTAAATAGTTTGAATTGTTATTTTTATCTTATTTTTTGCAACGTATGCAACAGGTCACATTTACAAGAGAGACCCATATGTAACATAGGTTACATGTTACCTATAGTAAATGAAACAGTTAGTTTCTTGTAAATGAAACTATTAGTTTCAAAAGACTTTTCCTGTAAAAATAGATGAGTTTTGCTCTGAGCAATAATAATAAGGAGAGCAAGTTTAATTTTATAGTCTGGTTTGAATCTCAGTCACATACTGAACTACTGAGGGTTAATTTTATAGTAATTTACATTATCATGATTTGTGTTGTACTTGCATGATGTTTAAGTTCTCTGTACTTAATTACCTTATTTACCTTCTAAAGGATTGTAGCAATGTAACTCAATGAAATAAACTTGAATGTTTTGACTAACTCATTTCCATCTGATGAGAAGACTGCATAAAATGAAGTAAATATAACTTCAGACATAACTTGTTTGTTTACACATATCCATACAAATGCTTTATGGTGCAACGGTTTGCTCTGTTGCCTCATTTATATGTCTCGAGTTTGAAATTTGTTCTTGTACATATTGGTTTTCTCCGGTCCTCTAGTCTTGCAAATACTGATATAAAAGCCTTTCTGGCACATTACTAAGATTTCTTTGTTTTATTTTTCCAAAAAGAAAAAAAAAAAGGGGTGAAAATGTAACCTTTTGTTTTAGTAAACACATTGATATTGGTTTCATTTATATATTCATGACACTGAATGCCAGACTAATGGAAGTGTAGTGTTTGCATCAGGGCTGTTTACTGATGATGTACTGCAGACAAACATCAGAAACTGAGCACACATTTTTCATTCCTGTATAAATATCAAACCTTAGTAATTGTTGTGAAAAGGGATGCTCTCCTGCAGCTATCTGTATTACTGCAGCTCTGCAGAAGCCTCAGACTGAAGACAATCTGTTGTTTTATAGCAGCCTAATATGGAGGATGCTTATCGTTGTCCATAATGTTCTTTATTTGATGAAGAAATCTTTGCACAGTCATTGCCAGAGGGTCCAGAGCATCTGGCTTATTTGCCCATTTTTGCCCGTCATGATCAATGGAAGAGATGGTTTAATCTTCCTCCCCCTGCCCCTTATTTCAGGTCCTGCTCCAGGTCCATGGCACCTCTTTAATGTTAATCAGCTAACACAAGTTGTAAAACACTTTGTTGATATTGTTATTATTTCAAGTGTAAAGAGATTGTTTGGACTATAAATTAGACAAAATATTCTTGGTAAAATTTTGTTAGTGTAGCGGCTAAAATCCTATATTTTAGGCTACTGGTGGTTGTTGTTGAAAGGCGTTGGTTTTACGTGCGCTCAATTAAGATTCAGCATGCCGATCTTCCGTTTGATATAAAGTTAAGTCATTTATTTCCAGTACAATGTCCATTGTCTTACTGTTTTCCTTAAGATCCACATAAATTCGACATACATCCAAAAACCAAGCACAGTAGAAAACTGTTTGCCTCTACCTATTAACAACACCTGAACAGAATCATGATTGACCTTAAATAACCCATCCCCCATCAGACACTCAGAACTCAAAATAAATACGCCCCCTGGTGGCGATAAACACCAAAAAGGATAAATGGCTCCTACAGTTAGCATTGGCCAACTCTTACACTACTTCGTCATACATAGTTCCTAACCCCTTTAATTGACTGAAACTACATTTACTGGCTAGAAAGTATAAGAAATGTGAACTAGCCTACCAAATGACTCAAAGAGAAGAGCTAAGGCTTCATTTGTGGCCAGCAGAGCCCTGTTTCTCATGCGGTGTGCCATCCCTGCATGTAGCGGCAAAAATGCCGCTACAAAAAGATGAATTAGGCACACGGTGATTTTGGACTCTAATAAGAGTTCTGATTATCCAAGGATAATGGTAATAAGGCAGGATGATGCATCAATGATAGGAGAGTAAAATTAGGCAGATATCTCAATTTGGCCAAAAAATTACTTAGGCAATTATGCCGACAGTATGTTAGCCATAGTTTGAGCATTTTCTGGATTTATTAAAAAGGTCAACTAAACAAAAGATCAGTTATCATTTAACTCTTACGAGCTACAATCTCTAATGTAAACTGAACTAAGATCAGCAAAATTCTTTAGAGAAAAGTTTCTAAAATGTCCTAAAGGCTCAACTGTGAGGGAAACACTTAACAAATAAAACGATGAAGACCCGAGCTAGCCGCTGGGAAACATTACTGTGGGATCTTAATAAGTGGGCAGCTGTGTTTTTCTTTAGTTTTTATCTAAGGAAGGGTTTAGTGGTGCACTCTGGGGTCTTGTGTTCAATTTTCCATTTTCTTCATTATGTGTCCCCTTGAGGCTCTGACTGGACTGGGGTGAGTAATGAGTCTTTAGGGAATGATTCAGAAACATCAGCTATCAAACAGCATGGGGTTCATTCGACAGGGAAGCCACAGCAGAGGCTTTACAAGGGTAAAGTGTTTAGAAGCTCAAAATACACAGAAGCTGAGTTTTCAGAAGGTCAGTTTTCACTGCGATATATTCTTCTGAATAACAGTGTGTGACAAATGTCAAATTTTGTGATGAGCTCAGATTTGTGACTTTAAGTCTTCTTCTGCATCACAGGTCTGGTGTGTAATTTATGTAAACTGATGTATTTGCTTGTTCATGCGCGCACACTCACTGCTTAAAATCGCATTTGTTATCATCCATCTGCTCTTTTCTGTTTAGTCCACCTTAGACCTTTCAATTACCACCAGACACGGTGTCTGTTCATTATTTTTCATTATCCGTTTAAACTTCACAGTGCCATGTTTATACAACAGAATAAAATAAGGGGATGCATTTGATCTAGCGCAGGACAACATCACCTCCGCATGTTGCTCCGCAGATGTACATGCCTTTGAGGTACATTTTTCATATCTGAGAAGGCATAGATGAGGAGCTGAAAACATGTTTCATCCTCAGAAAATGTCACATCATTACCTCCACGTTGAAGTGCCCTATGAGGCATTAAAGAAGAGATTATATTCAGAACTGACACACTAAGCTTGCCTCAGAATATGCCACGCGCCTAAATGTTGCAGCGATAAAAAGACCTTGCAATGCCCGCGGACGTCAGCCAGACTGAGGCGACTCTATCTTTTAATCTTCAGGCTAATTAAAAGTGAGTGTGATGCAAGACATATCTATATCTTTTATAATATCTCTATTACCTTTGATTATTGGACACAAGATGGGAGATGTAGACTAATTAATAGAGCCAATCTGTTGGGGAGATTAATGGAATGCCAGGCCCACTGAAGCGAAAAGATAGAAAGAGAGTGGGGAACATAATGAAGAAGATAAAAGGAAAGAGGGTGTAGAGGAATGGGGGAGGGAAAACCCAGTGCATGTGTGCGTTACATGGATTTATTTTAACCCAACTTAAACTATGTGTAGCAATAATTTTAGAACAATAAATAATTAAAGTTGGATCAACAGGAGGAGGTCAGTTTAGTTTAGTTCATTTCACTCTGGAGGTTTTTGGTAGCAATGTAATCGTTCCCGAAGAAGTCTCTTTCAAAAATAGCCATTTTACATCAGCGTGTGCAAAATATGTTGGTTGGTTGTAATTTAAAGAGAAGGTCCATATACATTCTGAGTAATAAAAAAGGTTGTCTTAGAGTTGGTCTCAGCAGTTTCTGTTAAAGGTGGAAATAAAAAATGTAATAAATCCAGAAATCCTTACACCAGGAAATATACTTTAAAGAAAAAAATCAATGCAAGTCTATCATCTTGCTCTGGTCCAAGAACAAGTCATGGTACCTTCTATTTTGTAGTTTGAGGAACAAATAACTCCTGACTCAAGCAGAAAAATAAATCAAATTCACGGGGTTCTTATCTATGCTCATAAAAGACTTTTGGTGCAACCCTATATGATTGCATTTATTGTCATCAGGGGTGTTGCAGTATCTCGAGGAGCCAGATCTTACAAAATTGGATGATGGTGTTTATTGTCATAGCAAAGACTAACTCCAGTGGCTGTCAGCATGTGACTTTCTCTGGTGAAATCTAAGCCAGTGGTTCTGAAACCTGGCACTTGATGGCATGTTGAGAAGGTAATTCACTCATTTGAATCTGGTGTGCTGGAGCCACTGGAGTGGATTCTGAGAAACAGGACTGAGAACCACTGCTCTAAGCAATTATCATGAGCCCTGGATGTAGAGGTGAATTATTAAAGCTTCACGCTGTACTTGAGACTATTACTTAGGAAGGAGTTCTCGAGATGTTGACCTGTTGTTAACAACCTCTGAACAATCTGTGTTAGGACATTTCAGTTGATTATGTGGCGTAAAGAACACGTGTAGAGTTCGGAAAGAATAAGCACCGCTACATGTGAGCTACTCAAACCTGGACTACAATATTTGAAACCCATGATTTATTCAAGTTCAAGCTAGTCTGTTTTCATTTCAAATAATACAGAAACTGAATGTTGGCTTCACACTGGCTTTCCTGCTTTCACACCCCACAGCTAAGTGGTCATGCTGCAGATGCCCAT